GCGGGCGTGCACGTTCGGTTTCGCCTCGGCGGGTACAAGTTCCCGCCTTCCATTTACTACAAGGTGCGCCCACGATCGAGAATCGTTGTTCGTCAGAGTTGCAGTCCTTTTTTGGTTTCAGGTTGATTTAGTCGTTTTCCCCGCATACAAACCCGTACCTAGCACACACCTAGCATGAGGCTTACATTTTGAGGAGGCGGAAGAGTCGATGTGTGAAGAAACAACGACAACGTTGAGGACGATCGCAACAATCACAGCAACAGGGCTACTACCGTAGTCTACTGACTAATTCCTGCCGACGTTTTCACCATAGGTGTACACGCATCAGCCGGTCGCCGACATTGGCGCTTTCGCACCCAGGGCTTACTCGGAGGACGCTAAGGAAACTCCGGCGGATCGATGGAATCACGTGAGGAAACAAGGGGCCGTTTGTTTGTAGCTTGCTGCCGCTGCGGTTGCTGTTGTTGTTCTTGTTCTTGTTGTTCTTGTTCTTGTTGTTGCTATTGTTTCTGTGGTTGATGATGTTGTTGCTGTTGTTGTTGCGCTGGTGGTGGTTGTCATCGCCGCCGACGTCGTTGTCGTCTCCGTTGCCTTCAGTTCACATCCGGAAGCGAAGTTAATACGACGCCGCGTACGGGAGGGGGGGCATCACAAAATGGTTGATATTGGTCGGTGGTCCCCATTCTGACGGACTTGACGCGCATCCTTACAACGAGCACGGAGAAAAAGGAAGAGAACGGGCGTGAGATGGGGCAATGGACAAACACGAAAGTCGTGCAGCGTACAACATTCCCCTGCTACAATAGCGCCGTTGTGTGAAACATGTCAACACATGGCCTAGAGATTCCACCCTTCGGAACAAGCATGAATTTTGGTCTGAAGATGCGACTAATCTTAGGCCCGTTGTTGTGCCGTTGTCCGGCCGGAGAGCGTCTTGCTTTGGAGAGGAATGACTCAAAACATGTTGTTGCTTGCCGGTTTGATCGAGTAACGGGATCGTCGAGCGAGATATGCGGGAGAGGCGAGGACAACCTCGCTCGTCATGTCCATCATGTCTGAAACATATACGTATCCCCCGGAGGCCCCGTAGATCAACACCTGCCGACTACCGCCGGTCTGGTGAAGTGGTTGGAACCAACGGCACCGACCAAATAAAATCACAGAGAGAAACTGTGTGCGCCGGACAATTCTTGCACGAGTTATCATGGCCACTGTGTTTGCATGAAAATAACCCGATTATGCACAGGGGGCGCGGTCGCCCCCCCCCCCCTTCTCCCCCTAGCCCCCCTGCGCACAAACCCATAGGCAGTGCCAATGCCACAACTGAAAGACCTCGATAGGGAGTGTGCTTCACGAAATCAGAAGATAGACCCCCCCCCCCCCCCCCCCCCCCCCCCCCCCCCCCCCCCCCCNCCCCCCCCCCGCGCACATGCCCCCTAAATGATACTTTTCGGTGGCAGCCACCCATGACAGGATACCCCGAAAACCCCAAGGCTGGCCAGATAAGGGTCGGTGCTTCCTACTTTGGGACGGCCGTCAAGCGGACGGGACCGCAGGTGTGTCCACGTCGATCCCCCCACCCCACCCCCGCTCCTCCAGCAAACACGGTGTGAGGTACAAGGGCGGGTCTATAGAGAAAAAGTTCCCCGGTGCGGTCTCAAAGAAGAGCAAGCGATGGCGAAAAAGCGTTCAGAATTGAGGAATGGACGGGGGGGGGGCAGGAACAAGCCACAATGTCGTAGCACCAAGGGGTGGCGAGCAATACGCAAACAGGAAAAGGGCGAACATTTACGGTTGGTTGCATCTGGCGGGATAGGGAGCAGTAAGCGGGTGGATGAACTCGAAGGAGGTGCAAGCGTCGTCAAAATTGGTCGAATGGCCCCAGCGAGGCAAAGCAACCCAGATCTGCGCCTGTCCGCGCCAGGGCAGGATGCCTAGACCAACCATCCCACCTTACGAAAACAGCAGCAGGCAAGCGCTCGGCGGACCTACCGTTCCGTCTGCAAATGCGTGTTATTTATTTTATGTTAGATCCGCATTGAAGAGCTGTACTGGGCTGTCTGTTGTTGCTGTACTACGTAGGGGACCACGAACTGGTACCGGCGCCAGGAGAACAACGGCTGGCGGCCAATCACCATCAAGGCGCTGTCGTCCGCCGAGGACGATCCGGTGACGATCGACACGGCCAAGAAGCACGCCTCGCGAAGCGGGAGCGGGGGCGAGAACGGGGACGGACTTCGACCTAGTGGCGGCGGCGGGGGTGGTGGGTTCCACTACTCCAAGCTCGTGAGGGAGGAGTGCCGCGCCGCTAGGATGAAGCGTCGGGTAAATGTTCCCGAACACAATTCCCTCGTGGTGGTTGTTAGCATTTAAGAATCGTTCTTCGGTGGTGTATCCACGCGCCTTGGGGGCTTGCAGCTGGCGAACGTCGAGTCGACGTCTGGCAACTCCGCAGGGATGTGCGTGCGTGGAGTCGATGTATGCGTGGGTTCTCCTTCGTCTTGGAGGGGCGGGGTGTGATGAAGTGGACGCGGCGGGGATCGGCTATATATCAATGCATATGATTTGGTTTTAGCTCCCAGAACGCAGCGTTCCCTTGTAGATGAGACAGCTGTGCTTAGCCGCTGCTGCTGTGGCGGCTCGACATGGCGCTGAACACGACGTCACAGGCCCGCCCTACACCAACCGCGGCTCAATTTCTCGCTGTTCTCTCTATCGGTGGTAACGCGTATAGCGTACTCCTACCTCACTTGACTGGCCTTTGCCCCAAGATGGGCGGAACACGAAACGCTGAGAGGTTCATCGAAGGCCATTGCGTACCGGCCCCTTCAGCATTTTGGTGGCGTTGGTCACGACCGCCTGCCTGCTTCCTCGCCGCCCTCTATCACGGGCTGTTCCCGGTTGATCACCTGTCTCTACCCGCGCCTCTTTCCTGTTTTCGTTTCGTGCTCCCTCCCTTTCTCTCTGTCTGCTGCCGTTGCTGCTGCGATCATTTCCATGTTTGACACGCCGCCTGATCGACGATCCGGCGGTCAATACCCCCAGAAACGTCGGTGGCTCATGTCCATGTACTCCGCGGGGCTTGCGGAAACGGCAACGGCGGCGGCGGCGGCGGCGGAGGTCGAGGGAGCGGGAACGGCGGCGAACGATGACGGCGACCCCTTTTCTCATCAATCTCGAGCAGAACAGATGCAGCAGCGGAGACAGCGAGACGGCGATCACCATTCTAGAGGCGGCATGGGTAGAAAAGACGCCCCCGGGTGGGAAGGAGGGGGGGATTGGGGAATGGATTGGGATTGGGAGGGATTGCATCGGCAGCAAGGCAATACGGCCGCGGGGAGGGAGGGCGAGGACGATGTCGCGCTGCTGGTGCGGTGGAGCAAGGCGCTGGATTTGGACAGGCAAGCGCATGAAGGGTATCACACCGAAGAATTGAGAGGAGCATATGTGTATGATAAGCGTTTGCATCTGTACATCGCCGTCCAGGAAGGATCACGTCCGGGAGGGGGAGGGCGGGGCTTAGGTGCTACTACTGGTACTCTCATGAACCGATTGAGCTTGTGGGAATCGTGCACATGGCGTCTGCAACAATGACAACAGAGCGAGAGAGAGAGGAAGAGAGAGAGAGAGAGAGACCAGCGAGAATTACCCCTCTCCGCGCCCCCCGGCCTTAAAGGTACACATCGGAGTGGAGACAGATGGCCACGTCGGGTCCGAGCGAGCCGTGGAGAAACGCCGAAGACTTCGCGGAGTGCGTCGCTAAGGGCGCCGGCAACGACGACGACAACAACAAAGATATGGCAACACCCACCATCGCTCCCGCTCTCAGAACAGCGCCAACAACGCCATCGTGGATCGGCACGATCAGTAGAGGAGAAGTGAAAAGAGCTCTAGGCATGAAGACCGCAGCCGCGGCCACAACAACAGCAGCAACAACACCACCATCGCCACCGTTGGCGTTGACGAGGCCTCCTTCTTGCTACGGTGCGGGCCTCGGGCCCGGCGAGAGTGAGGGCGGCGCTCTGATAGAAGAAGGAGATGGGGCGTATCTCCATGGTGTTGGCGGCAGTAAAAGAGATAACACGTACGGCGGTAGGAACGGCGGCGGTGGCAGCCTCGGCGGCGGCGGGGTTGATGGCTACACGCCGCTCGATTCTTCTACTGGCGTAGACCTCGGCAGCGTATAACTTACCGGTGTGTAGCAGTAGTAGCATTTGCCCACGGAAGCGAAATAGGGGGGGGGGCGTCCTGTTATCCACACCGATTTCAAAATTCGTAGTCCATCAGCACCTAGTCCCTGTCAGACACGTTGAGGGTGGAACCGCTCCTTACCTCGGGACGGATGCGGAGAAGAGGGGATCACGTGCGGTGAATCGTACATGGACTAGCCTATATATGCGGTGTTTGTTCGCTTCCTCACCCTTTGTGCGAGAGACAAGAGAGAATACGGTCGATAACAAGTTAACCAGACAGAGATGCAGTGGGAGAGAGAGAAGACGATGGTGTGAGATGTTACAATCGGTGCTAACGTGATGTACCATTGTTGTCACGGCCCTGTTTAGAACTGAGGGGTGGTTGTGACTTGTTGTCACGTATCTACAGTATTCCATCAGTGAAATCGCATTTTCTTGAAGGCTACTTTAGCAATAGCGATGGATAGTCTTATGTGTGGACAAGTTTTGAACAACAGAGCAGGTCCATCTCCAACCATCGATCTTCGGTTCGAGGATGAAGAACGACGTACAAAAATTTTGTGCGGGGGGTCTCCACGAATGTGCACTTGGAATTCGAGTGTGCTCGATGGAAATACTTGAAAGCACCTGTTCGTGAGGGCTCAAATGCATAGGGTAAGGCGTGTGCAACCCCACACCAAAACTTGCACGCCTGCTTCTTGATGCATGTTCTACCCGTAGGCGAGAGAAATAATAGTGGAACGACAAGTAAGGGGCAATGGTCAGAGGACGTTTTACCTCTTGCGCTCTATCACACCGTTTCACATTTCGTTTCGCTCTCTTTTCCAGCAGTCAGAGGGGGCAAAGCTGCTATCGTCTCGCCGTGTTCGACGGTTGACTTGGAGCTCTTCGGGTTTAGTGCCCCATGCAATCTCTCGTGATTCCGAACCAGTGGATACATTAATCGCTCGCAGCCAAGGAATCTAGTTAAGAAAACCTCAGATATTCCGAGGCTTTGTAGCGCAAGTCACGATGGTAGTTAGTCGAGAACGTGCGCGCGTGCTATGACCACGAGGACTGTTGTCGTGAACCTCCCAACCGCGACCACTCTTTCCGTCGAAACGAGGACAGGGCCCTGCAACACACCGGCCACATGCCGTACCCAAATCGATGGACGTTGTTATTTTTGTCTCCACAACCAAAAAAAAAAAAAGTTGAAAAAACGATTTTCTGCGGCTCTCTCCTACTGGCACCCATCTATCTTGTCCATTGCGTTCACACATGGATTCACTGAAATGCGAAAAGCCCCTCCTGTCTGTTCGTTCTGAACAATCATTACTCCGTGCTGCTTGCTCTCTTTCAAAAAAGGAACGGCATAATGAGATACAGATGCGAACTACAAGTAATAACTCTTGTCTTGCCAACATCTGCGCACGATAAACGTTGTAGCATTGAGCAGCAACACACACGGACACACACGGCAGTACCAAAACCAAACCCAACACATGACACACAAAACAAACGAAAACGATGTGCAAGCGGTGTGGAAAACGGTAACACAACTTCCTTCCCTGCCTTTTCAATACGTCGTACACCGCCCATGTGGAAACTAAAACCTGTACCAACCCTCTTCTCCTGGACAATTCAAGCGAGAGTAGACAAAAACGCTGCCCCCCTCGCGAACATACCCCGCACACACGGAGAACGGCGTGCAACACACAAGGAACAAACTTGTCGAACCCACACATAATGAGCGATAATTGCAGGGACCAAGCGGGGATCCCAACGACGGGATCATGAGCGAACGATCCCGATGGCCTTAGGCCTCCGGCGTCATTCAGCCCTAACGCTCCTTCCCTTCCCATGCTTTCCAGGATCGGGAGAGCGCCTACAAGCACACTGCAACAAAGCTCTCAAGATAAACGTGAATAGATACATGGAGACAGCGACGAAACACGGGATGCCATGCCGCCGCAGACAACTTCACTTCCTCCGCCCCCCACACTCACAACCAAGACAAAAAGAACTTACTCTGATTTCTGGTTCGCCGGTGCGTGCGCGTACGCTAGAAAAAACAGGCGGCGTTTCGGTGGAAAAAAAAACTCGCCCGGCGGTGACGATCTGGCTTATCCTCGTCGTCTTCTCCAAAAAATCCGCTCTTCCCGGGCCCCCCTCTCCCCCCAGCCTCTCTGCCTCGATTTCAAAACCAAAAAATAACCTCAATATTCCCTTGGCCCCCCAAAATACGAAAAAAACAAACAGCGGTGCGTGCGGTGCACTGCGGCGCAACTTTCGTCGTCGCCGCTACCGCTGCCGCTACGCCACCGGGTAGCCCTCCTTCGTCCACGTGCCGACCTTGATCCCGGATCGGAAGCCCACGAGCGCCGACACCGCCAACACCCCGCCGCACACCAGCGCGGTCGAGCTCGCGGACCAGTCGCCGCCGTGGCCGCCTTCGGCAGCCGCCGTGCCCCACCCACGGCCATGGATAACCCCCAACTCCATCTCGCCGCCGCCTTCCGGGGAAGGTTGGTTCGAGGCGCCGGTACGGCAAACCTGTTCGGGTGTGGGTGGGCAGCACGTCATGTGGTCGAGTCGTGCATCGAAAAAGAGGGAGGGGGGGTCAGCGTTGTGTGTCTCTTCCTCCCCAAGATGTTAATTCATGCGGCCTAACTGCTGGTGGCAGACCCGTGTATACTGCTGTGGTTGTTTCCTCTAATGCTGGCAACGTGCAGAAAACCTCAGCACAGAAAGAAAGTGCGCGGCATGTAGCAAGGCGCGAGCGCCGCTTACGTGCCAACAGGATAGGGTAGAGCGTTTGCCCCAAATGCTCCGGTCCGTCTCTACCCGGAAAACGGTAACGACCGCCTCTCAAGGTACGACAGAGAAAGCCAGACGAACGTGCTTTGCCGCAGAGAAGTAGTCTGTGCTCGACCACGTTAGTTGCGTGCCATCTGTGATATGCCCAGGAGGTTTCTCGACTGTCAGAGACGTTGCCGTTACCGGTGGACGGGGTGGTCGGGATCGACAGCGCTCCGTGGAGGCACGGAGGGTGAAAGGCAGTCGCTTCCACGAATAACACACACAACACTTTGTAGATTTTACTTAGCACAGCAGTGGTAGGCAACTTTCGCACGTGTACGACAAAGCAGATACACTTTCCGCGCAAAGCCAAATGTTCACGGGGCCAAAGATTTTCATGTACTCCGGCGACTGGCTTAGCCGAACAAAATACTCTAAAGGTGGTCTCCTGGGGCTTCGAAACCTCCCGTCGCGACACTGCCGCTGCTGGCCACACCCCTGCTTGGAGAAGTAAACAAAGACCGTGACACGCTACCCCAAGACGTTAACTTCCCCGAGAAGCTGGGCAGCAGTGATCTACGGCGGCGGGCCTTGTTGGGTCGTGTTTCCGACACTGTTAAAGTGGCGACGGAACACATGCCTACCGGTTGACGAACGAAAGAACTGTCGTATTAGGAACAAAGATCGACATGATTTCAATGCTCATGTCCCCGTTCATGCATATTTCGAGTCGTACACGGCTGCTTGCTGGCTTGGGTGAATAGAACATGACCCGCGGATGACGAACACGGCATCTCCTCCCTCAGCCGCTTTCCCTTGTGGTCCCACCGACAGACAGTAGGATGACCGTTGAACCGCCTCCCTCCACCTCTTTTTCTGTGCAATTATCGATTTTTGCGATGGAATCCGGAATCTGGTCGGGTCGTAGACTGCCACCCCGAGATGGTCGAATTTCAAAGCCTGACCACTCCACGATCACGACGCTGCATGGACGATACGACACGTTTTCGGAAAGCTCTTGACGAGGAGCTCCCACCGCCGCCAATTCGTCACCAGCAGTCTCTCTGCTGCGAAGTGAGAAATATAGCTGTGAAAAACCGCCATGTCCGAGGGGTGTGATATCTTGCGTCATCTACCTTCGGTTGCTAAAAAAGGACAAGATTGTACGTACTTCTGCCGGTTGGCAGAAAACATTTGGGACGTCGATCCCGTGTGTCCAACGGGAGAAAACACACCCAAAAGTAAAAACGTGACCGGCATACACGGGTTGCCTGTGGCTGGGTGTGTTGATGCGTGCGAAGATGGCGGGTGCGGTTTTCCCGCAACGTCGTGTAGGTGTATACTATTGAATAGTCAAAACGCTAAAGTGACGACTACGGCCTTAGTCCGGGCGTCGTGACTGCGAGTGTAGCACACCCCACACCCCCGCTGGGTCGATCCACTCTCTTCTCACCTCCTCCAGCGACAACCACAGATCCAGAGCGTCCACCCCTAGCCCGCAAAACGAGCTCGCACAGGCCTGCGCTAATAGGCCCAAGCTGTTGGCGGCGCCGTCGTCATTCGGCGCCATGGCCTCCGCCCCGGCGGGCAGAAGAGAGGCGCACACCAGCACCAGCGCCGCTGCGAACAGCGGCAATGCGAGCACGATGCTGGCTCTCGATTGTGGTGCCGCGAGTCTCAGAGAAACCATCGCGGTGCGCTTACGGAGGACGGTTGGGTGTGCCTCTCCCGCTCTCCTCCTTGCCCGTGTGGTTTGTAACTGGGGCTTCGTTTGCCGTTCTCTGATCGATCCCTTTTCCGTGCAACGCGGAGTGTTGCCTTTTCCACGAAATTTCCTCAAGACACAACAGCCAGCAGCCGTTCCTTTTGTTTCGCGCGTGCTCCACACGCTGCAGAGTAAACAATATGCCTCCTCGGCAAGAAGGTTACTATGTACGCCGGTGAACGCTTGTCTCGATGGCTGTCTAGTTGGCTTCGCGATTGAAGTAAATAATAGCGATTGAAAGGTGCGATGCGGATGAAACGTGTCGAGGGGGCTCCGCACAATATATTCCTGGCGAGGGGATATCATACGAAGCCTTACCTCCGTGTGACGGCCAGGTGTGTTTGTTGTTTGTTGCTCGCGACGCCACGCCCTGAAGTCTCGGCCACCAGACTTCCCAGAGTTCGTGAAGCTCGCTCGCTCTCCGGGGTTATTCGTGGTGCAGCTGGAAATGGTGTGAGATCGAGTTGGACAGGAATAGTACATAATCGATATCGAAAAAGCGACGGACACGAAATACTCGAAGTACAAATCACGGTAATGGCAGCAGCAGTTGGCGTTCCGGATTCTCCGCCTGCTGCCAAGTTGCCGCCCGGAGCATACTACGCCCTCACCGTGCTGACGGCCCTGAACGTCATCAACGTATGGCATCGCTACCTCCTGGTGAGTGTTTTGCACACGCCTCGTGCACGCCTCTCCTCCCTGAACCGGGTGTCACCTGCACCACGTTATCACTGATTATTGTTGTGGACTGCTGTGGGAGTTTTGCAGCCTACCGGTATATTGGTTGCGCATCCAGTAGGTTTAGATGAAGGCTGCTGTAGGCGACATCGACCAGGCTTTGCATACTTACCGACTACGGTACCTTCGGGAGGATTGTCGCAACAACAGCGAAGTCCTGCTGTCCCATTCCTGCAGATCGCCGAGCGCTGCACCCTTTGCTATTACGGAAGCCTCTGCTTTTCTGAGCACCCACAACACGGCATTCGTTTTCCTGCACGATATCTTCCCATGGTTGTTTGACAGCAGTACTGCTGTTTCGTCATTGGTCATGGGGGGTGTCTTCCCCTTCCCCACGGGGAACACATTCACACATCGCTGCCTGAAGCTATTGTAGTTTTTCTCCCTGCCTTGCCCCAACGCAGTCTTGCTCGACGGAGCGGTCTGACTGATGTCATTGTCGTTTCCGCTTCCTTCCGGAGCGCCTACTGCCTCTATCCAGACAAACCGACATCCTGTATATCATCACGCTACGACAGCAGTACCGCGAACCCGGATGATTTTTGTTCCGCATCAAAACGGTGTCCAAAGAGACGCCTTCTCTCATGATAGATACGCGTATGGAGATACCACGAAACAACGCAAGTTGGCGGCGTTCCGGCAGCGTGTCACGGACACAATAAAGGTACCAACGCCCATGCTGTTGCTGTCACCGACTCTGCTGCCACTTCTGATCTCGCTGTCCGTCACTTTTTACTTCGACTGCACGAGCAAGGGGGGGGGGTGTACTCATAGTCATTCATGCCGTAGTCGTTAGACCATTGACCTCGCATTCCTACAAAGCCGGGACGGAGCACGCCGGGTTTTCACCGGACCAGGCTCTCACATCACCAATCGCGAAGCGCCGTGAGATATTCGGGGAGTCGCATGAAGGGTGCGCTGCATCCTTCTAAGGGTGTTCGGCATTCTGTTCTTACTTCCTAGCTGCATATGACTTAGTTTATTTTCTGGTGCTTTCACTTCCAGAGACAGTTGTAAGCACTGCTCTGTAACTGCCTCGAGGGTGCTTGACCATTGTAACACAACGTGGTGCGATCACCCCCTTTGCGCCGAGTGAGGGTTCTCGACCCCGCACATCATGATCTACTCGACCACTTTTAGTCTATGGTTACCACCAAAAAAAAAAAGAGATAAAAAAAAAAAAACGGTAACCTTCTTGCCGAGTTCACGAAGTGGCTTGGCTCGTCTTACAACGTCGCTGCCAAGCGACGCAACCCCAATCCCGATGGCAAACACCGATGGGGGGGGCGGGGGCGGGGTGTACTCATAGTCGTGCATGCCGTAGTCGTTAGACCATTGACCTCGCATCCCTACAAAGCCGGGACGGAGCACGCCGGGTTCTCACCGGACCAGGCTCTCACATCACCAAGCGCGAAGCGCCGTGAGATATTCGGCGAGTCGCATGAAGGGTGCGCTGCATCCTGCTAAGGGTGTTCGGCATCTTGTGCTTACTTCCTTGCGTACGGATGACAGCTGCGTATGACTTAATTTATTTTCTGGTGCTTTCACTTCCAGAGACAGTTGTAAGCACTGTGTAACTGCCTCGAGGGTGCTTGACCATTTTAACACAACGTGGTGCGATCATCCCCCTTGCGCGGAGTGAGGGTTCTCCACCCCGCACAACATGATCTACTCGACCACCATTATGGTTACCGCCAAAAAAAAAAACGGAGGTAAAAAAAAAAAACGGTAACCTGGTTGCCGAGTTCACGAAGTGAATTGGCTTGTTTTACAACGTCGTTGCCAAGCGACGAAAACCCAACCCCAATGGCAAACACCAGGGGGGGGTACCGATGGGGGGGCTTGTTTCACAACGTCGTTGCCAAGCGACGAGAATCCAAGTCCGATGGGGCGAGCAAGGGGGAAGATAGAAAATCGAACAACGCTCTTTATTGGCGCAGCCAATTCGATACCGAATCAACAATCAACCTAGTGTCGATTCTTCCAGGGTATGCTATAGTACATGAAAACCTGCTCAACGATTGGCATTTTTTTCTTGGCTGCACATGCATCCGTCTCTTCCGGCCACTTTGCCAAACAGTGACATGGTTCTCCTCGGCAGCTCTTCTGCTTGTTCTGCGTTCGGCCGATGCAGTCGCCAACTATGCAATTCTCACCATCAAATAATAGGGCAACTCTAACTATTTTACTAGCACTGGATATCTTGCGGGTCTACATATCGATATCTAGCTTGCAGCACTGTCTTGCCTAGTGGGTTTGGCGTGATGGTTATGTTCCATCTATCAGAAGCGCGGAAATTGATGAACAGAGCTTTCGTCGAGCGTTATATACATATGTAACTGTAGTAAATATTCGTGCCTCGATCTGTGCGGCAGCACGAAGCAATCACGTGCTCTGTACGGGGACGCTTCCGGGTCGTTTTGGGTGTAAATAAATATTCAATGAGCATACACTGCCGGTCGCCCCGGGGGTCTAGTTGGTATCCTCGAAACGCTCTAGAGGTCAGGTCAGGGGTTCGAATCGCGGCGTAAGCGAGTTGGGGGGGGGTCACGGTGGAAGTACGAGGTCTGTCTGTCGTATGCATCGTAAGGGGCCTGCCGTCTGCCTCGAAGACGGTAAGCCTACTGCTGTCTCCAACGGTAAGCGTCGCAGCCAGCCGGGAAACATGTCGAGCCTACAAAGAGCTCGAACGTCGGTTGCGACTTCGATGCTTGCCCGCTCCTCTATGGGCGAGAGAGAGAGAGGGAGAACAGGCTAGTCCTTTGCTTGTGGCCGTGGGGTGTACATTTGGACGTCAGTTCTTGTCAACGCCGCACGTGTGGCTCTTCGTTCGCTTTCATCAATCCCGTCACACGCGCGCGCTTTTGGGCGTTTGTGAACCGGAGCCCCTTGGCGGAAGAGGCACAGGACGACTGCCTTTTCTCCGGGGAGAAGTCGCGAACGCACAATCCGACGGGTGCTCTCGAAAGCCGGCGACCTCAGCTGTTGCCCGCCCACCCCAGCTTTTGCCCACCCGCGGGTTATTATGTTGTAGTTGAAGTAAACCGTGGGGCACGTCAGTCCTGGGACACCATCCGAACCCGTGTGTTGTCTCAAACCTATGGCCGCAGGCCTCTGTGTCGTAAAGAATCACCTCCCTAACCCTATTTTTTGTTTTGTTTCCCCGCGGCGTCGTATGTGCCGGGTTTTGAGACCACGGGCTCCCCATGTTTTATGGACTATAGAGCTAAGGTGAGAAACAACAACAACATCCTTCCGAAGACAGCACAGGCAGCGGAGGCAATGGCGGGAAACCTGGCTACTGTAAACAATAGCAGTAGCCATGAATGTACATGCCGAGTTACTGCGTGTGATTGCCTTGTTTCAGCTTCCCACATACGCCAGGGGTACTGTAGCGACGGGCATCGCGGGAAATGCGCTGACCGAACGGTTGCCCGGGGATGGTGTGGATGTTATCCCCCGTTCAGGAGAACGCCTGGTACGCCAAGGATTTTCCAACCGCTTGTTTCCTCCGCACCAACAGGCACCCTCCTCGGTCGCCTGCTTAAGTTATTAGCGTGACAGATCCATCCGGATCGGATCTATAGCTAACGCTTGCAGATGCTTTCACATTATACACGTTAGACGGCGGTGGTGTAGATACCGAAGTGGTATGGCACACCCTCGCACTTAGCGCCCCTTGTACCCCCCCTGTAAAACAAACCGATCACTTCGTGAGCTCGACAACCAGGTGACCGCTGTTTTGGCGCCTCTGGTTTTTTATTGCGGTAACTATGATTGGTGGTCCGAGTAGACGCGCAAAGGGGGTGATCGTACCACTTCATTCTACTCGCCGAATACCTCACGGTGCTTCGCGCTTGGTGATGTGAGAGCCTGGTCCGGTGAGAACCCGGCGTGCTCCGTCCCTGCTTTGTTGGGATGCGAGGTCAATGGTCTAACGACTACGGCATGCACGACTATGAGTAGACACACACACCCCAGATAGGACAGGCAAAACAGTTTTGAACCAGGTTTGCCTTGGTGGGAAGGAACGATTGGCCATCGGTGATCGATCAGTCCCGTAGGAACGAACAATGCTCTTCCTCTCGAGGACGCGTGGTCTAACCGCTTAGGCAACCATTTACTGCACGATTACCTCCCCCCCTCCCCCGTTTTTTGGAAGGCGAACCTCGTGGCGGTGTCTGTGGAGGATTGCGACGTGTGCGACGACGTGTCCTTCGTTCCGCTGTGCTACTTGGACGATGTGAGAGAGAGAGAGAGAGAAGATCGAGCCATGTGGCGCACGATCGTGTCGTCTACACGAGAAACAAGCTATTCGATGATTGTATTCGTCGCTTGGTGTTGGCTGGCGACTCAAGACGTCGAGCCTCGAATTCAATCCTGACAGCATCCCGCGCCTTGCGATGAAATTCATGATGGTAGAACATCAATCTGGCGCTTCAACATGTTGCGATCCCGTATCCCGGAATGAACGGGATTGAGGGCAAGATATTGTGGTCATCTGTCACGTACGCTGCGTGTGCCGTGTGCGTGCTTTGCCGCATACTGTCTACTCTCTTTCGTCCTTGTTTGTTCGGCAGCAGGCGTTGTTGCGTTCGAACATCCCTCTCTGACATTGGCGTCTCGTCGCGTTCCCGCCTTCCGTTGTCGTTCGGTGCCGCTTCAGGAATTGGCGTCGAGCGAGGCTGATTGCCTGTCGTGCCGATACTCGTACAGCACCGAGTTCTACAACCTCAAGGCAAGGGGCTTTGTCAACGTCGTAGCGTTGTTGTCACAGCGTGGGGGTGTTGGTAGTGGTGCTGTCGTGATCAGTGGTGGTTGCTGCTGCAGTTGTTGCTGTTTTGGTCGTGGTCCTTGTAGTCCTTGCCCGTGTTTTATTGTCTCCTCCTCCAGACGATCGCTGCCCCAGTTCAATCCGGCATTTGATCTCTCGGAAACCTCGTGCGTTCACGCCGCTTACAGTGGTGGGCACCCCCTTGTGGTCTTCCCCACCAAGAAGCGACAGACAGGCGTGCTAGTGGCCGATTGGAAATAGCAAGCAACCCACCCACCCACCCTTGATTATCCTTCCTGCACCGTATGGACCGTCGAATGACCGTCGTTCCCACAGGATGGAGCTTGCATCGACAACTCTCAATACTCCATCCTGGCCGGGGTGTGCTTCACCATACCCTTCGCCATCGCGACGCTATTCGCCGGTCGGTTGACCGACACCTTGAACAGGCGGTACGTGTGTGCATGTGNGGGGGGGGGGGGGGGGGGGGGGGGGGGGGGGG